GCTGTTTTTTTAATCGTTGCTTTTAAGCTTTATTAGATAAGCTTGCAAGAGAAACACACAATAATTTATAGTAACCTTTTAGGAGCTGAGTATTATTAAGAATTTTTGCCTAATAAGAGAAGGAAATTTAAGGAAATAGTAAAAAAGAAACTAAACCAAGTGGCTTAATTAATTATTAATGTATAATTTAAGACATACTTTTAGGAGCAAAGTTCAACATCAGTTCTAGTTCTGTTCTAGTTCTGTTCTAGTTTTGTTCTGTTCTAGTTCTGTTCTAGTTTTGTTCTGTTCTAGTTCTGTTCTAGTTCTGTTCTAGTTCTGTTCTAGTTCTGTTCTAGTTCTGTTCTAGTTCTGTTCTAGTTCTGTTCTAGTTCTGTTCTAGTTCTGTTCTAGTTCTGTTCTAGTTCTGTTCTAGTTCTGTTCTAGTTCTGTTCTAGTTCTTTTCTAGTTCTGTTCTAGTTCTGTTCTAGTTCTGTTCTAGTTCTGTTCTAGTTCTGTTCTAGTCTAGTTCTGTTCTAGTTCTGTTCTAGTTCTGTTCTAGTTCTGTTCTAGTTCTGTTCTAGTTCTGTTCTAGTTCTGTTCTAGTTCTGTTCTAGTTCTGTTCTAGTTCTGTTCTATTTCTGTTCTAGTTCTGTTCTGTTCTAGTTCTGTTCTAGTTCTGTTCTAGTTATGTTCTAGTTCTGTTCTAGTTCTGTTCTTGTTCTGTTCTAGTTCTGTTCTGTTCTTGTTCTGTTCTAGTTCTGTTCTAGTTTTGTTCTGTTCTAGTTCTGTTCTAGTTCTGTTCTAGTTCTGTTCTAGTTCTGTTCTAGTTCTGTTCTAGTTCTGTTCTAGTTCTGTTCTAGTTCTGTTCTAGTTCTGTTCTAGTTCTGTTCTAGTTCTGTTCTAGTTCTGTTCTAGTTCTGTTCTAGTTCTATTCTAGTTCTGTTCTAGTTCTGTTCTAGTTCTGTTCTAGTTCTGTTCTAGTTCTGTTCTAGTTCTGTTCTAGTTGTGTTCTAGTTCTGCTCTAGTTCTGTTCTAGTTCTATTCTAGTTGTATTCTTGTTCTGTTCTTGACCATAAAAAGTATTGCCTATTTTAGGGAGAATTTAATAAAATTAATTTATGGCCTATTTTTAGTTATTTTCCTTTTAACAACTTTCCTTTCAATAAAAATTTATAGCATACTTTTAAGGCGGTATAAAATATATTGTCTACTTTTAGGCAAAGTTATAAAAATTTAATTTTATAGTTATTTTTAAGCTTTGGAACAATAAATTCTATAGAAATCAATAATTATTGTACAATGAACTCTACAGAAAAGAAAAGTTCTCATGGTTACATTAAACAGTCGTTTTATAGACCAATAGAATTTTATGCACGCATTTCAAGAAAACCACAAAATTTGTCCTTAACAATAGACTACCCTTTTCAAAATAAAGAAAACGAAAAATAGAAAATGTTTAAGATAAAATTTGAAAGAAATGTTATAAAAAGACCAACCACATAATGTAGTCCTTAACATTATGTGATTAAAATTTTAACACTGAGGGCAACAAATAACAATAATGATAAGAAGGAAAAAATCATTTAAGAAAAAGCCAAAGGTGTCTGTTTAAAGTGGCACAAACAAAGATTATAAAAAAACATAATGTTTTTTTTACGTTAGACTGGTAATATTTTAGTTATAAGGCGTCTTAGAAAATCAATAGGTTTTATAATGCTAGACTAGCAGACAGACAAAGAGATGTATAGACAGACGGATGGCATAGTGCACGAAAGACAGTTAAGAAATTATTAGTTTTAAATAGGCCAATAGTTAAAAATCAATAATTTTTAATGACAATAATTAAATATTAACAAATGAACTGAAAACTATGCTATACATTTTCATTCATAAACAACCCTTAAGGTAGGCTGTAGTTTATTAAAATTTTTTTGTAGTTGCAGACAATATGTCTTATTGCCAAGACATTTTGTTATTAAATATATATTGAGAAGGCAAAGGCTTTGGTTTATTAATGAAAAAAGGTTTTTAACCTGTGCGCCCTAAAAGAGGCAACAGTTTTTACAAATTTCTTTTAAAACCATAACTTTGCTTTAAAACAGCTAACAAATTGTATGTTTATGTACAAAAACTAACATTTACAAAATAAATTCATTAAAATTCAACTTACCTTTAATCCAACTCTATTACTGAAACGATTTACTGTCTATCCTGCAAAAAAGAAACAAAAAAAATTGCTTAAACAACTTACTTCATTTAAAATTCATTTAACAAAAAATAAATTTACATTCAAAAGTACAAAATTTTGCAAAATGACACAACTTGCATGTTTTGTTACAACACAATTGTTTATTTTTCGCTTGAAAAATATCGGGTCAAAAAACTTGCGCTTCCCTATAAACGACAATCTACCATTTAAGCGAAACAAAAAAATTTAAACAATAATTTCTTGTAAATATTAAAAACAAAGCCGCGCCAAAATTACGTTATGCTATTAATAAATTTATTATAACAAAATTGTATAGCTGGCCAAAGCGACGTATGGTCTTTTGGGAGAGCACATAAATGTTTGGTCTCCTCAAAGTATGCCATACTTATGTTTATATCTTTATAAATATTTAATAAATAAAAAAAAAATATGTGTTTTGTTGCTGCCAGTCAGCGTGCCAGTGATTGGTTCAATAAACTTTTAATACTCGTATCAATAAATAAATAAATATTATTGTATTGATTTTATTGTATGTATAATAAATTGGTAAAAGGAAATTGAAAATAAAAAGCACTTGGTAATATGTATTATTGAAAATAGGCTTAGAAAATACTTGAAAAATTTTTAGGAGGATTTAAATAAAATCCATAAAATTATAATAAATTCAAGTATTTACATAACAAGCACACACTTAGGAAATAAAGCCAAAAAGTAGGCAATAAAAATTTTAATTTTAATTTTAATTTCAATTTAAAGCAGTTCTCTAAGAGTTTTATTTTAACATTAGTTCTTTTCTATTTCTAATCTAGTTCTACTCTAAATCTGTTCTAGTTCTGTTTTAGTTCTTTTCTTGTTCTGTTCTAGTTCTGTTCTAGTTCTGTTCTAGTTCTGTTCTAGTTCTGTTCTAGTTCTGTTCTAGTTCTGTTCTAGTTCTGTTCTAGTTCTGTTCTAGTTCTGTTCTAATTCTGTTCTAGTTCTGTTCTAGTTCTGTTCTAGTTCTGTTCTAGTTCTGTTCTAGTTCTGTTCTAGTTCTGTTCTAGTTCTGTTCTAGTTCTGTTCTAGTTCTGTTCTAGTTCTGTTCTAGTTCTGTTCTAGTTCTGTTCTAGTTCTGTTCTAGTTCTGTTCTAGTTCTGTTCTAGTTCTGTTTTAGTTCTGTTCTAGTTCTGTTCTAGTTCTGTTCTAGTTCTGTTCTAGTTCTGTTCTAGTTCTGTTCTAGTTCTGTTCTAGTTCTGTTCTAGTTCTGTTCTAGTTCTGTTCTAGTTCTGTTCTAGTTCTGTTCTAGCTCTGTTCTAGTTCTGTTCTAGTTCTGTACTACCTATATTCTAGTTCTGTTCTACCTCTATTCTAGTTCTGTTCTAGTTCTGTTCTACCTCTATTCTAGTTCTGTTCTAGTTCTGTTCTAGTTCTGTTCTAGTTCTGTTCTAGTTCTGTTCTAGTTCTGTTCTAGTTCTGTTCTAGTTCTGTTCTAGTTCTGTTCTAGTTCTGTTCTAGTTCTGTTCTAGTTCTGTTCTAGTTCTGTTCTAGTTCTGTTCTAGTTCTGTTCTAGTTCTGTTCTAGTTCTGTTCTTGTTCTGTTCTTGTTCTGTTCTAGTTCTGTTCTAGTTCTGTTCTAGTTCTGTTCTAGTTCTGTTCTAGTTCTGTTCTAGTTCTGTTCTAGTTCTGTTCTAGTTCTGTTCTAGTTCTGTTCTAGTTCTGTTCTAGCTCTGTTCTAGCTCTGTTCTAGTTCTGTTCTACCTATATTCTAGTTCTGTTCTAGTTCTGTTCTAGTTCTGTTCTAGTTCTGTTCTAGTTCTGTTCTAGTTCTGTTCTAGTTCTGTTCTAGTCTAGTTCTGTTCTAGTTCTGTTCTAGTTCTGTTCTAGTTCTGTTCTAGTTCTGTTCTAGTTCTGTTATAGTTCTGTTCTACTTCTGTTTTAGTTCTGTTCTAGTTGCATCTGCATCTTTTCTAGTTCATTATTGTTAATCAATGTTTAAATTACTTAAATTTCCTCTCCTTATTCTTTTTAATTCCTTTCAAATTCTGCCTTAAAGTATGCTTTACATTTTATCATTATTTACAAAAAATACACTTAACTGTTATCCTAGAAAAATATTCATATCTTATTTCTTTTGTTATTTTCTCAATACATATTTTCAACAATGTTTCCATGTTGTCGAAAAAAATCCTTGATTTACTTTGTATATCCTGTTCCATTGTCCATTTAATGCTATTGTTTAAAATCATAACTATTGAAAACTAAAACTATTCAAAGTTCTATGACTAGTTTTGCATTTAAGAAAAAAAAAATAAACCTGAACACAAATGCAATCAATTCAATTAAAAATCTCTCCTCCCTCTGGGGTTTCTACGAACGGAAATGTTTGCCTAATATGTATATATTTTGCTCGGTATATGGTCATTGTTAGATAAACTTAAGTGGTTGTTATATGTTAAATATAACTCCTGTACTCCCACTATTGGATTTTGCCCAACTACGACATGAATATAATCTTGGGATGTCTGCAGCATTATTGGAAAATTTTATAAGTAAATATTGAAATTGTGGCAAAATCTTCCGTAAATAGTAAGAAGATGAGAAGAAGTAGGAAATTAAACAATATCCCTAGACTTGTTTACATTGACAAATATAACAAAAGCAGTTACGAAGAAATTAAGACAACATCAATCAAAATGAAATAGATAAATATAAACTTATCAAAAGAAACCTAAAAGTAGGCAGTAAATTTGTTATAGGGAATATAAAAAGTAAATAAAGAATAAAGTACACAAATTAATGTTAATTTATATATTTTCTTTCTTTTCTACTTTTAGAATACGCAACAGTCGCGGCAGCTTAGATAGCATAGGCACAGCGGCCGCCTCTTCGGCAGCTTCTCAGGCCAGTTCCAGCGGAGGCTCTAATCCCAAAATGGACATGGCCAATGGTTTAAATGGTTCGGGCAATAACAGCGCCAGCAATAGTCCCCAACATCATCACAGCAGTCCCAGTCATCATCGCTCTTCATCACGTAATGGCCGTGATAATTGGTCCAAAATGCCAGAACCTCTTAATGGTCAGAAATCGGAGCACAAGGAAAAGTCTTCACCCTCACGCCGCAGCTTAAGTGGTTCAAATTCCAAACAAGGTTCACCCTCCTCCAGTCGTACCAAGGGGGTGCCACCAAGTTTTGGTTATGTTAAACGTTCGAATGGTTGTAATACCGCCACTGCGGAACAACAAAACATTGCCATGATGATGAACTCTAACAGTGGTGGTAGTAGTCCACAGAATGGTCGTACCGCTCATGTATCAGCAGTGCCAAGGACTTCGGCGGGTGGACGTAAGGTTCAGGGTGGTACACAGACCTTGCCGCATGAAGTGACAAGTAGGTTTATTATTGTTGTTATTTTTTAGAAATTCTTTTGATTACTCTGTTTTTGTTTTGTTTCATTTGCAGAAATGCCTCCCAATCCACAACACCGCAGTTATTCTTTGACGGGACCAGGAGCTACTCAACTGAGCCAGTGCATAAGAGAACGTTTAGCGGGCTCGCATAGTCTACCCAAACCGGGTTCAGATATGCACATGTTTCAACATAGGTGAGTAAAACAGAACCGATACATGTCTAGAATATAACTAGAACAGAACTAGAACAGAACTAGAACAGAACTAGAACAGAACTAGAACAGAACTAGAACAGAACTAGAACAGAACTAGAACAGAACTAGAACAGAACTAGAACAGAACTAGAACAGAACTAGAACAGAACTAGAACAGAACTAGAACAGAACTAGAACAGAACTAGAACAGAACTAGAACAGAACTAGAACAGAACTAGAACAGAACTAGAACAGAACAGAACTAGAACAGAACTAGAACAGAACTAGAACAGAACTAGAACAGAACTAGAACAGAACTAGAACAGAACTAGAACAGAACTAGAACAGAACTAGAACAGAACTAGAACAGAACTAGAACAGAACTAGAACAGAACTAGAACAGACTAGAACAGAACAGAACAGAACAGAACTAGAACAGAACTAGAACAGAACTAGAACAGAACTAGAACAGAACTAGAACAGAACTAGAACAGAACTAGAACAGAACTAGAACAGAACTAGAACAGAACTTGAACAGAACTTGAACAGAACTAGAACAGAACTAGAACAGAACTAGAACAGAACTAGAACAGAAATAGAAAGGAAATTTAGCTGAAAAAAAACTTATTTTCTTCCCTAAAAATATGCTGCAGTTTATATATTTCTCTTATTTTTATTATTAAATTCCAAAAGCTTGTAATAAAGTTTAATTATTTCATACCAAATAGTTTATACCGATTTAATTACACAAATTCCATTTAAATTTTGCTGCTGCTACTTCCCAATTAAAATCTAATGCCTAAAATTATGCAATATTTTGTGGATTTTCACTCAATTTATAAATAAAATTCATTAATTTGCACACATTTAATTAGTGACACTGTCAGCTAATTATAGTTTCATTAATGCCACTTAAAACAGCAATTCATACATGCAGCATGTATGAATGTCACTTATCATTAATAAATACATTAGCAGTTGTGTATGTGTGTGCAGTAAATAAATGTCGACATTATTTTGTGGTTCCATATATTATTAATTTAATGTGCTGCACAATAACAAAGCAAAAGACCGCAATATAATTTTTTTGTGCAATAATAAACGATTTAATTAAAATTCAGTGGAAAAAAGTGTATAAATAGTATTTGAATAATAATTGGGATTTAATTAAGTGATATGCCTAAAAGTAGGCCACATTTAAAGCTTTCCATTGACTAGCATTTAATTATAAATATGTGTTTTTTTTTGTGATTCAAAGACTGTCCAATCGTCCTGGCAAAATGCTGGACGGCTCTCTATCCGACACCCAAACTTATGCTGAGGTCAAACCTGAATACAGCAGTTATGCCATGTGGTTAAAGCACAGCAATACCGCCGGCAGTCGTCTATCCGAGGGTGATTCTATGGAGAATATGCAAATGGGAGGTTCACCCTCTATGTCAAGGCACAATCATAAAATGATGCAACATCGTGCTGCAGCAGCCGCTGCAGTAGCTGCTGCTAATGCTGCAGCCGCTAATACGAATGCTATGGCAGGGACGGAGTCTCCCTATGTGCAGAGTCCTCGCTTGAATCGCAGCAATAGCATAAGGTAAGTGCAAAGCAAAAGCTTTTTGCGATATTATTTGGAAATTAGTTTTGCATGTCCAGAATTATTTAAATATTTAATAACACTCTCTGTTAGAAAGTTTTAATTTAATTTTTTGTCTTAAAAATAATTTTTTTAAACAAAAAGCTACTTGAAAGAAAGGACATTTCCAAGGTGATTAAAAACAACACTCAGAATGTTTGAAAGCTTCCAATGTTTATTGAAACTTTAAGATTTTATTTAATAGTTTTACAGCTTTTTACATTGCCTTATCATTAATCCAAAGCTTTTGCCTAACACTTCAGAAACTTTCATTGTAAATACTATGGACGCATATCTCTCATCTACTTATATTACAAAGCAGTTAAAAGATCTTCTTTTCTTCTCTTTCAGTATTTGCCCTAAAAGCTTTTTTCTTTTGAAGCTTTTTTAAAACTTTCAGCTTTTTTAAAACTTTCAACTAAAATGAACAAAAATGTATAAAATGTAAATTTCGTTTTAATTTAATCAATCTCCTTTTAGCATAAGCTTTTTTGTTTTCCTTTTAGAACTTTATTCTTTTAAAGCTTTTTATTAAAAAATTCGGCAAAATGTGTAAATTTTTATCTTTTTAATCAAAACTTTTCAATATTATAAAGCTTTAACATTCTTGATAATTAATAGTGACTTTAACTTTAAAGCTTTGTACTATAACTAAAAGCTTTTACTTCAAATTCGAAAAATTAAAACAAAATCTAAATTTTCTTTAAAACACAAATTGTTTAACAAATTAAGCTAGCAATTAACTGAGTAGAGCTTTTAGCATGAAAACTTTTGTTTAAGCTATTGAGCTTTTTTAGTTTTCTTAAAAAATAACCGATTTTTCCCTAAAGCTTTAAGTTTTCATAGAGATTTCTTAAAAAGAAACTTTTTTTTTTAAATTTTACCAGAAAGCTTTGAAAGCTTTTACTTAAAACTAGAAAAATTTACGAAATTTCTCTAATTTAGTTGTATCTATATAATATTTTGGTTATTTTTAACAACTAAAGCTTTTATTTAGCAAGTTTATTGTTTGAGCTTTTGAGCTTTTATTACTTTTGTTTGAAAATATAACAGATTTTCTGTAAAATGTAACGTTTTAGATGCATAGCTTGACTAGAACTTATGTTTCAATAGTTTTATATGAAAGCTTTCCACAATTACTAAAAGCGTTTGTTAAAAACTTGAAAATTTGAAAGATATTTTTAAAAAAATCGCTTTAAAATAGTTAATTTTTTATAAAATAAGATATAAGTGAACTGAAATCTTAGAGCTTTTGAAGCTTTTATTTTTATTGTTTATGAAATAAAAGATTTTCTTTAAAAACTTTGAATTTTATAAGAACTTTTTAATTACAGCTTTTATTTTAGTATTTTGAGTTGAAAGCTTTATTGTTTATTTGAAAGCTTTTACCTTAAACTTTAAAATTTAAAGTAATTTTGTAAAATTTCCTTAAAGGACTAAATTTTTTAAAAAATAATTTGTTAATGATGTGTAAAGAGCTTTTAGAATTTGAGCTTTTATTAAGCTTTAAAGCTTTTATTTATATTGCTTAAAAAATAACGAATTTTCTGTTAAAACGTTAAGTTTTTATAAGGATGTCTTGTATAGAGCTTTTATTTTAGCAGTTTGATCTGAAAGCTTTACGTTATATTTGACAGCTTTTACCTTAAACTTGAAAATTTAAAGAAATTTTAAAAAATTTCGTTTAAAACTGTGAATTTTTTATACAATAAGATGTTAATGGTGTATGAAGAGCTTGTAGAATTAGAGCTTTTGTTTAAGCTTTAAAGCTTTTATTTGTAATTTTGTAAATAATAGCATTTTTCTCTTAAAACTTTACGTTTTATAAGGATTTCTTTATAGGCAGCTTTATTTTAATAGTTTGACCTGAAAGCTTTAAGCTATAATTCAAAGCTTTTACCTTAAACTTGAAAATTTACAGAAATTTTGTAAAATTTCCTTGAAGAAGTAAATTTGTTTTAAAATGAGATGTTAATGATGTGTGAAGAGCTTTTAGAATTAGTGCTTTTGTTTAAGCTTTAAAGCTTTTATTTGAGTTTTTCAAATAATAGCGTTTTTCTTTCAAAACTTTAAGTTTTTGTAAGGATTTCTTTATAGGCAGCTTTATTTTAATAGTTTGACCTGAAAGCTTTAAGCTATAATTGAAAGCTTTTATCTTAAACTTGATAATTTACAGAAATTTAAAAAATTTCCTTTAAAACTGTGAATTTTTTATACAATAAGACGTTAATGATGTATGAAGAGCTTGTAGAATTAGAGCTTTTGTTTAAGCTTTAAAGCTTTTATTGGTATTTTTTTTTAAATAATAACATTTTTTCTCTTAAAACTTTAAGTTTTTGTAAGGATTTCTTTATAGGCAGCTTTATTTTAATAGTTTGACCTGAAAGCTTTAAGCTATAATTGAAAGCTTTTGATTCAAACTTGAAAAATCAAAGAATTTTTTTAGAATTTTTAATAGTTTGTTGACTTTTTTTGTTATTTGAAACAATTTGAGCATTTTTGAAGCAAGTTTGCCTTTAAAGCTTTTAGTTATAGTTGAAATTGTTCACTTTTTAGAGTTTTTCAACCTTAATTTGGGAATTTGGACACACACATTTTAGTTTAAATGTATAGAAATTTTATTCATTGTCTTTCAAAAGGAATTTATGTGACAAAATTGATGTTCACACTTGTGCAAATTCATGTGTCCCCATACACACCTTTAGTCCTTTAGCTATAAAATTAATATTGTCGAAAAAATATTCGAAATACTTTATTACTTATTTACACCATTTTTTTCTCTGTTCTCTGACATTCTTGTATGTTGCTGAGCAACCTTCAAACTCTATAGATATTTATATTACATACATATGTTTAATATACATACATATATCTGTATGTAGATGTTTTTGTATTTTCATGTTTAACGTGTATAGGTTGCTGTAAATGTATAGTATCAAAGTTTAGTTCAAATAAGCATAAAATGATGACTGCTTTTTACTTTATATACAAGTAATTTTTTATAAATTTACATCTTTACACAAATACACATGCATACATTTAGTCTGCTCTATGAGTTGTTTGTTAATTTATGCTGTGTATAGCATACTTTCCGGCATAAATGTGAAAAAAAAACATGTTGAAAGCCCATTTGTATGTGCGAGTAAGTGTATGAATGAGTAGTGAGTAGCTCACACAGACAAGTTGAAAACTTTTTCACAATTTTCTGTTTTTTTTTTTTTTTTTGTTTTCTTTCATTATATGTATGAGACTGTGTTTATAAGTGCGTGAGTATGTTAGTAAAAGGAATTTTTTCCCGAAATATTCTCCTAGTAGTTAAATACAGGTTTAATGTTATGGAATTTGAAAGTTTTTTTTTTGCTTTGTGCAAAATTTATGAGTTTTTAAGGCGTTGAAAAGTATGCAATATATTTGCTTTTTTTTGTTTTGTTTTAAGAGCTAACAACAGCAGCATTGTAGCATAATTTTAGGCGTTGCCTTGATAATATTTACTGTTATAGTATGTTGTTTAATAACAATGTATATATTTTTTTTGGAAAAACAATATTGTGTTCACAGTCAGTCTGTTTTGTAATATGTTAAGTAGTACTTCAAAACACAATACTAAAGTTAGTAAAAAAAAAAACAAAAACACTTTCAGCATATTATTATTATTTGCTTTGCAAAAAGACTATAACTAATGTTTCCTTTATACTGTAAACCCCACACCGCTCTCTAAGAGCTTTTATAATTTCAAAGTAAATTGTTAAATAAGAAAGAAAAAACAACAACAACAACATATTTCGTAGGGCAATGAACTATTTAAGTTTTATAAGAAACTTTTAAAACTCAAGTTTAAACTAAGCTTAAACTAGTTTAAGACTTAATTAACAAAATTTAAAGCATATTTTTAGGTTTATTTTTAAACAAAAATTCGATTCTAAGTTAAAAATGAGCAAATCATTGATGATTTTAAATTGTTGCTGTTATCCCTTGCCTTTTTCACTCCCTTTCCATTATAATTTATTCCTTAATTTCCGCTCAATTTGAAAAGAACCACAAAATTTTATCAACCAACATCAAATCCCTACAACAATTTTGTGAACAAAACCAAACAAATCGGCAGCAATATATTGAATAAAAACATCAATTCAAAATGATTTGAGGAAGACGAGCTAAATATTCAGTGAAAACGATAGAGGAAGAGTAAGGAGAAATAAAAATGAATAAAGTCTAGTCTAGCCTTAGGCGCAAATTAACACCTCTCATATAAAAGGCAGACTATTGCAAATTTCCGGTTTGAAAACAGGAAATTTTTGTTGGGCAATAAAAATAGGAGGGAGTTAAGATATTGGATGACAATAAAAAGAGAATTATTTGAAATTTAAGAAAAATTTTAAATATTTTACAACTATTATCTTTTGTTAAAAACATTTGCCTAAAATTATGCTGTATTTGAAAAAAATTAAACCAATTTTATATATTTTAATGTATTTATTCACAAAAACCTTTTGTTTGCCATATATTTTCTCTAATCTAAACTGTGCAGTAAAAACTAAACAAAATAAACAAATTTCATAGCATACATTTAGGCATTTGGTTGATATATAACTTTTTAAATGAGTGTAAAAATGAATAATGTTAGAGCAAAGAACAGTCTACATGTAAATAAATAAATGTATGGTGTCAGACATTGAGGGCTATAGGAGTGTTAAATGTGTAAAGATTTCGCCATGAAAATAAATGAGTTTAATAAAATGTCAGCAAAGCCTACTTTTAGGCTTTCATATAAAAATTTATATGTATTAAAAAAAAGCATTTCATCATGTCCTTGCATAATTAGAGCAATATTTTTGTATTCAAAGAAATCAAAGCCTTTTTTATTGTTGTTGTTGTTTTTCTAAATGCTACCATCAAGCATGTCAATTTCTGTAGCCTATTTTCAGTTGTTGTAGTAGTTGGTTTCATATTGCAGCATTATTAAAAAGCTAAACTTATTTTTATTTTGGTTTTTTTTTTTAACATAAACATTTAAACTAGATCTACAAAATCTGAAAAAATGTATCCTTCTATGTTGTCCAGGGGACCAGAGGTGGAAATTGAACCCTACTATTGTCTACCAGTGGGTGCTCAACATAATGGTGTTTTATCTGCTCAAATGGCTGCGGCAGCCGCCAATGCCCAGGCCAATAATCACAATCAACAAACTAACTCCATTGCCTGGAGTCAACCCACCTCTCCCACACCCATTACTCGGGGTTTTAGTGGTCCTATGTCTCCTACTCATGCTAATACCATGCCGGGCATGCAGGGTGTTTCCCAAGGCAATACAGCCTCGCATCGTTTAACCTATCCTAAGAAAAATGATGAGGGTAAGTTTGTTAATACAATTAAACCATTTTAGATAAAATTTTTATAAATTTTTTCCCCAATTTCAGTTCATGGCAGTACTGCCTCCTTATTATCGGGCGGCAGTTCTTTGTATGGCACTTCGGAAGAAAGACAAGCTCAAGAAATTCGTCGTCTTAAAAGGGAATTAATGGAAGCAAGAGAACAGGTGTTAAGTCTAAGCGGTCAACTGTCAACAAATGTAAGTACAAAAACAACTTTGGCCAACCAAAAGTTTAAGCCCTAAAATGTTTATTTTATTTATCAACGTCATTTTAACAATAGAAGGTCATTAAAATAATTTAATAAACTTGTTTAAAGCACAGTTAAACTGAGTTTAAACTTGGAAAAAACTCAAGATTTACAACTTATACACACACTACATTATTTCTCATAACTAAACCAATAGTTTGCTATAATTTTCATTAGCTAAACTTTAGTTTATCACAGTTAAACTAAGTTTAAACTCTAAAAACTCGAGATTAATAAATTAAACCTCAAGTTTAAGACATTATTTTTAACCAGTTTCATTAAAAACCTTGATATTTTCTAGAAATTAAGATTATTACGATAGAGAACATTTTTCATTAAAAAAATCTCTTAATCGTTTTCTTAAACTAAGTTTAAACTAACTTAAATCAAGTTTAATTTATTTAGTAAGGGAATTCCAAATGTTTAACCAACCACTAATAGTTTTGCACTAAAATAAAGAGTTAAACTTGCTTCAAGCTTAGTTAACTTAAGTTTAAACTGGGTAGAACCAAGTTTAAGGCATTGTTTTTAACAAGTTTAAGGTTATTTCGTAGTTTTTACTATATAGTGACGAATTTTCTTTAAAAAAATGTCTTAATCGTTTTGTTAAACTAAATTTAATATATATATGAGTTCCTCTAACTCCCACTGAAGCATAGGGCGCCAATAACAGCCGACCGCCACCGGACCCGGTTATTTGCAATAGCTCTTAATTGATTCCAGGTTAAGCCTAGGTTGTTCATTTCGGATTCCGTGGAACAGTATTGACAGTTGATTTTCCACCGGATTCCACGGCTATTGTTCTCTATGGAGCTCAGAACATCCTTCATTACCGCCAGGAACAAGAGAGGCGATAGTATACATCCTTGTCGTTCAAATAGTTTGCCCTTGTGTAGAACGTAGCATCGGGCATGTGCATAGCTTTCCTTAATCAGAGATATAATTTTCTCCGGTATTCCCCTTCTATATAGTGCTAACCATATATATTCCCTATTTATACTGTCAAATGTCTTCTCGAAATCTATAAAAAAGTAGATGATGCTCGGAGTTAAATTCCACACACTGCTCAATAACTATACGTAGGGTATTAATGTGATCCGCAGCCGAATATCCACTGCGAAAGCCCGCTTGGCATGAACTGATTTTTTGTTCTAGGTGATCCCTTATCCGATTGAGGATAATTCTTGATATTAGCTTTACAATAGTTGGCAGGATACATATACCCCTCCAGTTGCTACAATTCTTCAGGTCTCCTTTCTTTGCTATCTTGACGATTATGCCATCCTTCCATTCCTTAGGAAGATTCCCAAGTTTTCCCAAGTTTCCATGATAAGAGGGCTTAAGAGTGCAGCAGTGAAAGTTGGGTCGCATTTATAAATTTTAGCGGGATACCATCTGTACCTGCTGCCTTGCCATTTGGTAGTTGTCTGATGGCTGCTGCAATTTTTAACAGACTTGGAGGAGCAGTTCTAATCATAGGGTTGGTAGTGATGACTGTGCTCATAGGAACCGGGGGGCCCAGGATCTACCGTAATGCTGTTCAATATGTTGGCAAAATGTTATAAGTTTAAACTAACGTAAAACAAGTTTAAACTATTTAGTAAAGAAATTTTAAATCTTTACTCTATTACTAATAGTTTTGTATTAAAATAAAGAGTTAAACTTGTTTCAAGCTTAGTTAACTTAAGTTTAAACTAGGAAATATTAAGTTTAAGGCATAATTTTTAAGCATTTTCAGTAGAAAGGTTATCATTTACTAAAAATTAAGATTATTTTGAATTTTTGAAAATATAAAGATACATTTTCTTTAAAAAATCTCTTAATTGCGGCTTTAAACTAAGTTTAAATTACCGTTTCTCAAGTTTAAGCTATTTAGTAAAGAAATTTTAAATCTTTACTCTAATACTAATAGTTTTGTACTAAAATAAAGAGTTAAACTTGTTTCAAGCTTAGTTAACTTAAGTTTAAACTAGGAAATATTAAGTTTAAGGTTAAATTTTAGTTTTATTGAAATGTATTACTAACAAATTTTCTAAAAACAATATTTAATTTTAGAATTATTAAAAAATTTCTATAAAAAATTTGTTATTAAAAAAATTTTCAGAGCAAATTTTTTTCTTAAAGAAAAATATTGATTTTATTACAAAAATTTATAAGATTTATTTAAAAAAAAAAAATTTAAATTATTAAAATTTTCAAAAATTATTAAAAATTATATTTAAAAAAAAAGCAAATTTCACTTGGGCTCGTCCGGGATTTGAACCCGGGACCTCCCGCACCCTAAGCGGAAATCATACCCCTAGACCAACGAGCCAGTTATTATACGTAAAGAAAATACTATACATGAGTCATGCGCACACCAACAAACACACTAAATGTTTACAAAAACAATGAGTGATAAAAAAAACACACACACACTCATCTGAACAGCATTGCCAGCTTAAAACTAGTGTTGTCTGCTGCTATTTTTAAACAAAGACACAGTTGCTTACAAATAGTAGTAGTAATAGCGTAATATTTATGGTAAATGTTTTATGAACTTTTGATTGATATAAAATTTTTTTAAAAAAATCTTGTTAAAATTATATTTTTGGTTAGTTTTTTGTTCATTATTTTTGTTGTTCGTTATAATTCTTTAACTTTTATAAGGTTTTTTTTTGGCTTGTAGCCAACTTTTACTCAACCAAAAACTAACTAACCACCATCCAACAAAACCCCTAGAAAGTTTTGCATACTGTATCATTTTTGAGGTTTTACCGGCAGCATAATGTTGCATAATTTTACAAGAATTGTTGCAAACAAAAAATTATAATTAAAAACCGAAGAAAACAACTAAAAATTCTTTCCGAAAGTAATAAATTAAATTAATTTGGATTTTTTTTTCAAATTTCTTATTTTGTTTTTAAAAGTTTCTTAAAGAAATTCTACAAAATTAAGTTTATGACTTTAGTTTAATTTTTACTAAACACTTATTTAACTTATGGGCTTTATCAAAAACGCTAAACTTGAAATATTTAAGTTTAAACTTAGTTTAACCGGGCTTAATTCAAGTTTAAGGTTAGATTTTTTCGAAAAAGTTTTATTTGAGTTAAATTCTTTCAAACTGTTATAAGTTTTTGTAAAAATATCCTGCGAACTCAATTTAAACTTGGTTTAACTTTTTTTGAAATAAAGTTTAACACTTTTTATACCCTACACTACTTTAGTGGGGAGGGTAAATTGAGTTTGTGCTGATGTTTGTAACGCACAATAATATTGGCCCTATACCCACCTTAAAGTATACCAAACGGCTTAGAATCACTTTCTGAGTCGATTTAGCTATGTCCGTCCGTCCGTCCATGTCCTTGTAATCAAACTACAGGTCGCAATTTTGAAGATAATTCAATGAAATTTGGTACATGGACTTCTACTGTCACAGGGACGAAGCCTATTGAAAATGCATAAGATCTGTCCATTATTTCACCTAGCCCCCATACAACTGAACCTCCGAATAGGGCTTGTAAAACTTGTAATCAAACTACAGGTCGCAATTTTGACGATAATTCAATGAAATTTGGTACATGAGCTTCTATTGTCACAGGAACGAAGCCTATTGAAAATGCTTAAGATCGGTCCATTATTTCACCTAGCCCCCATACAACTGAACCCGCGGAATAGGGCTTGTAAACCTTGTAATCAAACTACAGGTCGCAATTTTGAAGATAATTCAATGAAATTTGACACATGATCTTCAATGTTACCGGAGACGAAGCCTATTGAAAATGCTCAAGATCGGTCCATTATTTCATCTAGCCCCCATACAACTGAACCTCCGAGTAGGGCTTGTAAACCTTGTAATCAAACTATAGGTCACAATTTGGAGATAATTCAATGAAAATTGTCACACGATCTTCTATAGTATCGGAGACGAAGCCTATAGAAAATGGTTTACATCGGTCCATTATTTCACCTAGCCCCCATACAACTGAACCCGCCGAATAGGGCTTGTAAACCTTGTAATCAAACTACAGGTCGCAATTTTAAAGATAATTTAATGAAATTTGGTACATGATCTTCTATGTTACCTGAGACGAAGCCTATTGAAAATGGTTTACATCGGTCCATTATTTCACCTAGCCCCCATACAACTGGGGGCTTGTAAACCTTGTAATCAAACTACAGGTCGCAATTTTAAAGATAATTCAATGAAATTTGGCACATGATCTTCTATAGTATCGGAGACGAAGCCTATAGAAAATGCTTAAGATCGCTCTATTATATCACCTAGCCCCCATACAACTGAACCCGCCTAATAGGGCTTGTAAACCTTGTAATCAAACTATAGGTCGCAATTTTGAAGATAATTCCATGAAATTTGGCACGCGATCTTCTATAGTATCGGAGACGAAGCCTATTGAAAATGGTTAACATCGGTCCATTATTTCACCTAACCCCCATACAACTGAATCCGCCGAATAGGGCTTGTAAACCTTGTAATCAAACTATAGGTCGCAATTTTGAAGATAATTCAATGAAATTTGGCACATGATCTTCTATGTTACCAGAGACGAAGCCTATTGAAAATGGTTAACATCGGTCCATTATTTCACCTAGCCTCCATACAACTGAACCCGCCGAATAGGCCTTTTAAGTTCATAATTATGTTTAATATACTCGTATCTCGACAAAAAGCTGTAAAACCAAGTTCTATACTAGCCTTAATAACCCTCATGAATTTTATTATTATAGTGCTTCATTTGACCCTAGCCCCTACAAAAAGCCCCCTTCAAAATTTGACTTAAATGTCCACAATTTTATTCCACAATAAATGCCTTAAGTATATCTGAGACAAGGTACAATTCAACTTAAATGCTTTATTATGAAAACTAAATCACATATTATTTTTGTAACAGGTGTAGGGTATTATATGGTCGGCCTCGCCCGACTATAATTTCTTACTTTAAATTTAAG